AACAGGTAATACACAGACAAAAACATAAAATATATTTTGCATTTGATGGAGTGAGAACTGAAGATGCAGGAAAAAAAAGAAGCTATTTTCCTTAAAACTAAATTCTGACCAAGGACTCTTCTAGATTTTGTTCTGCTGGAGTTTTTTTCTAAACCATTTAAGGCCAAAACGCTCCGAGCGGAGCCGAGCAGAACACAAATATGAGGCTTTCCACTTGAAAAATGACTGTGGTGGTTTACTGCAGTCGTCTGCGATTGGAACAGCTGGAAGTGTGGTATGAATCCAGATCTTTGCAGAGAGATAAGATACAGTACTTCATGCAGGCTGACACGTACATATGGCTCTGCTTTTTAACCAGCTCACAATGATAAGTAGGCCGACAGCAGCTTTAAAAACCTGCACTCTGTCTGAATGTTAATGAGGACGCCGCGATGCAATCAGAGGAGCTCCAGCAGAGAAATGAGACCGGTCCAGTATTCCAACAGTAATTTAACTCAATCCTGACCTTGTCTTTATCTCTGTGTGGTGACAGATGATTGACGATCGCTGCATAAACATCAGATCAGTGAATGAAAGGTGGACTTGGGAAGAAGGGTTGGAATAAAATGGGACAATTTTTTTACATTTTCTGAATTTAAGTCCAAAGACTTTTGAGCCTAAAGTTCTCATTATAAAACCTAGCGCTCCTTTGAGGATTGCATTTTGCCCACTACCTTATATGTCAGACATGTAGACTAAAACCAACTTATGTTGAATGAGTTTTGACTGAACCTTGAAAATGTGGGAACTCAGGCAATAGGACAATATTTTGCATGATCTGTTAGCACTTGGAGTATGTGATATAAAAGACTTTCAGTTACTACCACACTAAATTTAAGCTAATTTTGCTGTATGTCAAATTTACTGATTTTGACACTCTTGTTTTTGCTAAGGCGTGGCAAACAACTGGGCCAAATTTATAAGTTAGTTAGTTGTACAGCCAAAGATGACTTACTTAGAGGTTTATTCAAATTTATTTAGCAGTTTATGCGATATTTTGCTAACAGGGTTGACTCCAGCAGTTGTTACCAAAGTTTTAAGCCAAGATGTTGGGCAATGTGTTGGGTACAGTGACTCAATAAATAAAGCCCTGATGGAGCTGCTCTGTCCTGCTCAGATGTGAGTTTTCAGAAGTGAAGATGGCTGAGTGGAACTAAACGTGGAGCACCACACATTAAATGTGTAATGGACATTTAACTCACGTTGTTTTCAAAACATTAATTCTAGGGCTGCAACAACAAATCGATAAAAATCAGTAATTAAAATTGTTCGCAACAAATTTCATTATCGATTTGTTGTGTTGCACGATGTATGCATCCCTCACCATGTCGCGGAGCTGTTTACGTCACCCGCTGTGCGTTGTCAATGCTGGCTGACCTAAATAAAGTTTAGGAAGAAAAAAAGTACCTGTAAAGATCTGCCCTCTCTGTCTCTCGAGTGAAAAGTATGACTTTGAACTTTAAACTAGTTTTTAAATTGTGTTGTTAGGACAAGTAGATCTGAAGTTATAATAAAAAGTGTACCAGACATTTAATTTTTTTAAAAGATGATCTGATGTGAGCCGCATCGTAAAGAGGAAACGCATGCAGGGGGCAGGGGGGTGGGGG